ACACGTGTAAAATTTGAAATTTTATTTTTATGGAATTGGTAATCTTTACCCTTACACTCATAGAGAAGCTTCTAGAAGGGTCGCTCTCGAATTCTCTCACGGGGTATAAACGTTAATCCAAGAAATCCTGGATACGATAAACTAGTCAGGAAATGGAGGGCGCCCCGTTAAGCCAAATAATTCGGTGGTTCATGGATGGGAACGTCACTGGCGAAGGGATAACTGTGTACAGTGAGCGTCTTATCGGCTTGAAACAGAACGATCCGCGCATGCGCACCGCCCACGCCGGATATTCCGCTTTGCGGACTGAGACTCGATTTTAGATTTGCTTATCAAATGAGCCCTTCGCTCTCCGCGACCAACTCATTAACTTTACTGCTAGTAATGGCCAGTTAATGTCGGCCGTCAAGAAGGTACCGAGACTTCAGCCAAATCTTACTATTTATCAGCACTTTAATCGAACGCCGATAACCCCCGTCACTTTGCAAGGAGCGCCACCGGCGCGCAATGCATTACTGTTAATCTTGAGACTTTCGGAAAGGCTTACGTCCCGTATACGAGGCGTAACGGTATGAAATACGGAAATGCACATTCACTGGAAGTGAACATGAAATATTACCTAATTCATAACTTCAAACGGATCAGTGGTTATATATATTTTTCAAAAATACATATCCCAACGTACCCACGTACGTAACTCACGAGCCAATGGATACAGGCAAATATCTCAGCCTAACCTAACTCTCGATTATGAGTAAAAAAAATACTCTGCGATAACCAAAAAAAGGCTCACTACGATATTCATAAAAAAAAATGTCCAAGGATGAAGTACACCGGGTACACAAACGATTCGAATTTATTTATCGTGCCATTCAGCAGGTGCCCAGAGAAAGTACATACCTACCGGGACCGTAATAAAGGGAGATCAGAGAGTTTCGTTAGCGCAACGGAATGATGAATGTGGCGAGTGTCAAACGTTATACGCCATAAAACAAAGGCGTACAAAGATAAAAGGACAGTAGGTCCCCAGACTGTCACGGAGTAAAATGAGATGAAGGTAAAAAGAGTAGAAAGGAAAATTAAAGAGCAAATAGCACCGCGCAACGACGGGTACGTAAATCAGTGGCGAAGGATGTTTAACGCTTGAGTAAATTCATTGAACTTATACAGAAGGCACTATACGTGTGCACTAGGTTCTCTCACATTTACAACCCATGTATTTATAAATGTCAAAAGATTCGGCGATCGGTGGGAAGTTGGCATCTAGTTAAATAGCCAGGTACACCAATGCATTTTTTAGCCCTCAGTCGAGTGGTGGCAAGATCGTGAACTAGTTTCAGGGAAGCTTCACTAAACAACCGTTAGATCACCTCGTGGACACGCTTACGCCCTCTGCGACTTATCGGTCGGTAAAATCGCAGCTCGTTAATCAAAACTGAATTCAGAGGACAAGAGAAGAGATAATTAAATCTGTTGGGTGCGGAGTAGAAACGGGCTGCACCGCGTCCTCTTCGCCATCTGATGTATGACCTTCATCAAGTTCTATTTGACCTTCTCACCGACAATGGTTCTGGAGTCACGTGACGAAACAGTCGCATGGCAACCCGTGAGTTTACTTTTGTTACGTCACTGATACATCTGTTTAATTAATTGAGATTGATGCTGCGACTGGACCATTTTTTGTTGTTTGTACAATATATTCGTTAACGTCTTCGTACTTGTTTTGTTTGTTTGTTCGTACGGGAGAACGACAGGTACCCTGGTCCATCCGCAAGATTTCCCGTGTTCCGCAAAGTGGGATGCTGTTCGTTCAGAGATGTATAAATAATTGACTCTGTATCGCTTGTGGATTCTTTCAATTTTTCTGTAGCTGTCGTATGTAGCTACGTGTATCTACGCCACGACTGGACCGCTGTAATAACCGTGGCCGCAGCAGCCATGGCCTCTGCTCTGTTTAGTGTCGCTGAAAGAATTTTAATTGCGCATTAATCACGCGAAGCACCGGATAAATCAAAGGAGAAACGTGTTATTAAACATTTTAGCGGCTCGCACGCTCTCTGGCCTGTACACACGTGCCTTTTGGCTGTGTATTCACGAGTATCGAGTAACAGCAGTAATTTTATGCGATCGCTATACCCAACCCTTCTGTCAACATTTAGATATATACAGTAGAGGATCTGCTTGAATCTTCATCGATAACATATTTTTACGCATCAACAGTCTCGAGTATTGCGCCATTGATATATGCCGTAGGTATGGGTTTATTTATAGGTACAGAATCACGAGGCACGATTTGTTTCGTTTTAAATTGTCGGCCATTGCCGATAGACAATTTTGTCGAGATTAATGGAATAGAGATTGTGGAAATTATTTTCTTTGTGCCGATCGATGAGAAAAAATTGATTAAATAAGATTCGGTTCATATTGGATTTTACGTAATTTGACGCTGCTGGATCTGTCCTGAGATTTGACCAGGGGCGGAGTTGGGCGGGGGGTCGGGGTGGCTGATAGAAAGAAACCGTGGAAAATTCTCATTTCTCGCCTTGCCGTATCCTTGGCATTTGCTCGGCATTTGACTTTGTAACGACGTTCGATCGGGTCTCATTTGCAAATTCAATGAGACTCTCGTATTTCAAACCCTGGCCAAACTACCACGACCGTTCTCGTGATATTTCCTAGGTCATTTATGCACAAGTGGTATTAGCTACTGAGCAGCCATTTTACGCAAGTTTTAACACATTTACGTATTTCAATCGAGCTCTTCAGTATTTCTTCTATGTATATTTCAAACGTGGACTACGCCAGTCGGACGTACGTTAATGGACACTCGATGGAGACTTGATCGCGAATTATTCGAAACTAGACCCGCCATCTGTGACTCGCAACGTGAAATGCGATGTTTTGGGTCCTTTGGTAAATATATATAACGTATTTTCACATATAGTAATATTCGATATTTTCTAAGCATTTTTGTTGTTGTCTTGTACAAAAAATTATATTCCAATCTTAAGGTTTATTTTTAAAAGGTACTCTCGCAGTTACCGACAGTCGGTATTTCAATTAGGATATCATCGACGGATATTTTATGCCATAGACATACGTAATTCAACAATCTTACGACAGAAGTCGCTGCTATTGATCGACATTTTATAAAATTAATCCGTAAAAGAATGTACTGTGCTCTTTACTTTACTCGTTCTTTCTCTCTCACGCTCTCTGCAGTCAGATTAATTAATTTCAAGCAATCACGCACGCATAACAAACGTATTTGCGGGCTGTAACGGTAAATACGGGTAGCGCATCGGCAAATCAGTCCAAGCCACAAAAACCGATCCGCTGAATATTCACTCGGTTAAAATGAATCTCCCAAAAAACACGTGTAAAAAACTACGCCAAGTACAGGAGTGCTGTGTATTCCTTTAATAAAAAGTATTGATATCAGATTATTGAGGCCAAGTACATAAGTCACTACATGTTTTCCTATTATATGATCTAGCACTGGCCCACCATTTTAATTGTATTTTCAAAATTTCCTATAACGTTTTGACTACTCTTTAACATTACTACTGCTTCTCGTAGCTGATTATGATTTAATAGTTATTTAATAATTAATAAAACTTTAGCTGATTCCTTATCGAGTACTACTTGGCGGGTCCGTGCATTTCTTGATATAAATTTGCGTTCATTATGCCAGTCATCAAACTCAAAACCAATGTCAACTTTATATATAGAGCTTATTGACGATAACTCGTCAATAACAATCACGGTAAAAGCTTAATAACAAACATATAGTTTTAGGACACTATTAGTATGTTTAAGGTAAGTACTTTGGAATTCCTGGCACGGACCTGCCAAGTAGTACTCGATAAGGAATCAGCTAAAGTTTTATTAATTATTAAATAACTATTAAATCATAATCAACTACGAGAAGCAGTGGTAATGTAAAAGGGTAGTCAAAACGTTATAGGAAATTTTAAAAATACAATTAAAATGGTGGGCCAGTGCTAGATCATGTAATAGGAAAACATGTAGTGACTTATATACTTGGCCTCAATAATCTGATATCAATACTTTTTGTTAGAGGAATTCACAGCAATCCTGTAGTAGTGACTTATATACTTGGCCTCAATAATCTGATATCAATACTTTTTATCAGAGGAATACACAGCACTCCTGTACTTGGCTTAGTTTTTTACATGTAAGTGTTTTTTGGGAGATTCAAAGTTCCCTGTACGAACGATCAAGTTTCTATGAAAGCGACAATGGTGCGACCGTTGATTACCGACAGTATAAACAGCGTGAAAAGAATAAAATAATAAATCCCCTCATCGCCGAGTACATTTTTTCGGAATGAAAAAAAAATGTTGAATTCTAAAAATTTAATTCAACATCCACACTCAAAATATACGAACGTTAAAGCTCGTTTTTTTTATGGAAGTGGTGACCTACAAAATGTCGAATCCTTTAATAATTCGTTCCGATAAACATCTGCGACTCGTGTGTCAACTAAGAGAGTACATATCAAAACCTATGAAAACCGCATCCTGTTATCACGTGATCCTCTTTCTGATATAAACAACATTCTACGTCTGATAAAAAAAAGACGTTCAATGCGTACGAGCTCCGACGGTCATAGAATTCTTTGAAGAAGGAAGCCACGCGCCTTGGAAAACCCGGGCTTTGCCGGGGAAAACCAAGTTGATAAAAGATGACAGTATTATTCGCGAATATAAAGACGCGAATAGGGCGTTGGTCGAATTGCAAAGCCGTTTAGTCGCCACAGGACATTACGACCGGTTTTCCCAGGCCACCATTGAGTTTGTTTCTCAGGCTCGTAAATAGTGCGTAGGACGATATAAGGAAAAGTATGAAAATTTTAGAAAAATAACCTAAAATTTTTCGAAGGAATTCGATTTTTGATAAAATACAAAAGAACAAATTTATTTCTATTATCACTTTGTGTTATTTTTCTCTTTTACCTACCTGTATAAGCACATGCGTATGTCGCACTTTGGATAAAGGAAAATACTCAGTGAAATATTTTAAATATTCGTAACACGTAGTATCAGTGTGTACGTGTTTCATTGCGTTAGTTTAAACTCTTTCGTTTCTTATTACCCAAGAATTCATACGGCCCTGAAATCATCGGACGTGCTTTAATATTTCAGTAGTATCCGTATTACTATATGCGTGTGGACGCTCGAATAAAACGAACGTGATTCACGCGCGTTGCTGCTGAATTTTACGACAGTTCACGGCAGATCGCGTCGCGCCATTCACTAGTTGCTGTCGCGAGGCATCGATGATTGGTCCTTTATTTTGCGTGCGCCGATAATTACGTATAATAATACGTGCCTTTGTATATTATTGCTCGATACCGGTTTTAAAGGCCCGTCGAACGACCAGCTGAAAGTTAACGGAGTTTCGACAAACAACCATCTGTCAGATTTGACAATCGAAAAATTTGTGCGTCTGGTTTATTCAAATACGATTGACTTTTCAAAAGCATGGAGATGCGTTTAATCGTGTTGTCCTTGTGCCTCACGTTAATTTGTGCAAGTTCGGTGAGATTTGACAGACCGAAAGCGTTTGCCTTTTTACCATCTATTCGTAATCTTAGTTTTCAATCGAGACTCGGTGAATCTGAACTGGAACGTTATCCTCTTGGTAATTATATTTTTTGATAGTATGTGTGTGTGTGTTAATTATCTTTTGTGTTTATTTTTTGGGTCTTTTATCACGTCTTCTTATTGCAGGCGTAGAAGCTGTTTTAAGCGTTGCTTTGAAATTGCATCAAGCCTTTGAAGATGGCGCCACAGTGCCGACAAATTTTTTAGTTTCACCCTTAGCCGTCGCTGGCGCCCTTGGTCAACTGATGCTTGGCGCTAGGGGAGAGTTTCGGAAACAGCTGGGGACACTTCTCACATTGCAGGATGCTGTTCGGAATAGGTAAACATTTAATTTCTTTATTTCACTTTTTCTATATATTATTATATATATATATATTGTATAGCTATTCAGAAATTTATATCGTCGCAACGCTCTTCGTCATTCTCATATTCCTTATTCATTCCCGTTTCGTTGCTGACTCACGTGACTCTTCAACGAAAACATACCGCCCATCACTTTTTATGAACATTTTTTACTTATGACACTGTATATTTTATCGTGAATGCTAAAATAATCATGAAGATTGCACACACAGCTACAATGACGCAATCGTTTTAGTCAATATATTTTAAATGCCATACCTCGCCATACTTTATTCAGTTCATTAGCTTCTTATCTCCTTCCGCCCAAGATACACTGTTAAAAATAATTATTTAAAACAAAAAATCAGATCCTCGTCTACCCCTGACACGGACTTTTCAAAAATACACAATGAATCGAGGGCGAATTTGACGATAGAAAAAAGTGCACGTGTGAGTACATTGTTTTTAATACTTAAAAAATATTATTTCTCAAAGTTATCGTTATTCAATTTTTTCCTCCTATTAATTTTTCTCACAGCCGATAATCGGTAGCAGAATACGTGTTAAGAGTATCGAGAATCATCAGGGTCCAAAAGTACCGTCCTTGAGTGCCATGCGAAAAGACGGACTTCCGGGATTGGAATTACATCGACAACTGGGTGGATTGATTCGAGCACTTTCCAGTCCCCTTCAAAAACAAGGCAACGAGACGAACGTGCTAGCAAAGTCGTACTTGCACGCGTCCAGTGTATTTTTTGCCGATAAAGATCTCGACGTCAATGAGCAGTTCGTTCGCGCTGTTACGGATTTCTATGGTTCGAATCTGGTTCCAGTCAATTTCAGGTAAATATCAATTGATAATAGAAAGACACTCGACATGCCTCGTCGAATATCCTGAGATTCGATCGAAATATGTTTTTCACATTGAACGTACAAATACGAACTGTCAATCACGACGATTGGTAGATAAAAAATGTTTGCAGCTTCAGAAGTATATATTGTTCACGGTTGTTCTTTTGGTTACGCAAGACATTTTTTTTCATTTAATTTTTGTGCCACGTTTTTCTTGTTATTGTCAGAGCTCCACATTTTTCTTGATCAACTCAGTCTACTTTCTTTCCAGGGAAGATCCATTGGGGTGCCAGGAATTAATCAATCAGTGGGGATCGAGGGAAACCGGTGGATTGATATCAAATTTTTTGGAACATCCACCACCACGCGATGCAGCTGTAATGCAACTTACCGCTGTGCATTTTCGAAGTGCATGGGAAACGCCATTCATGCCTGCCTTAACTGTGCCTGGATTGTTTAAAGTGAGTGTTTGGATTTAAGTTTGTATGTAAAATTGTAAACGATCAATATTTGTTTTCGCAGACCTCAAATGCAACTAAAGTTCCAGTGCAATTTATGCAAGGCACTTTGGAGGACGTTCCTTATGCTGAAAGTGAACGACTGGGTATCCGTATCATGGCGATGCCTTATTCGGGATCGGAATGTTCAATGTACATTTTATTACCAAAAAATACTAACGAATTGAAGTATAACATAGGAAAAATAATAGCGGACATCACTGCCGAGGATATTACGGAGTTACTCGCATCTGTAAGTAAACTTTTTTGTTTGTGTAAAAAAAATTGTCAGAAAGGTAAAAATGCATTCGGAACAAATGCTTTCAGACAAGACCAAGAAATGTGAACGTGAAGTTTCCAAAGCTGTCGTTATCCGATTCCTTGAGCTTGGCATCGGCATTACGGAAGCACGCTCGATACATGGAGAATCACAAGCATCAAAGAAAAATGCAATCAGCGAATAATAATTTGGAAAAACTGCCAATTCCGACCACAATATCCAAAAACAATGACAATTCGTCGAACTACACGGTGAACTCTGGTGGAAGTCTTCAGCACGTTTCTAATGCTCGCAAGATGCCATCTTTGTTTCATAAACGTCTTCCGATCAGCAACGAGGTGCAAAACACAGAAAATACTAATCAGCATAAGGACATATTGATATTCAAATCACGTATGGCTGAAGAGAATCCAAGTTTTGAAAAAGAAACTCGCTCTGGCGAACCAGAAATAATATTGAGCGCAGCCTCGCACAATGGTCAGTTTCGGGTTTCAGAAATGATCCAACAGATAGCACTGGAAATCAATGAAGCTGGTACGGAAGCTGCAGCCATAGCTGGTTCCACGATAAATTACAGTGGAATCGTGAAGAACTTCAAAGTCGACAGACCCTTTGGATTTTTCATACAACAGGAACAAACGAAAGCTGTACTTTTCTGGGGAACAATTGTAGACCCTTCGTCCTAGCCCGTATCAATTTATTGGTTACTCTGTATTTCTTGCTTTTCAAATTCATATTTATATTTTATGACTAATAGCTTTATACTGTACCGAACAAGTTTTGTAGATTCTTATTTTCTTTTCTATTATTAACATATTTTACTCCACGCGTACTAGGACATATAATTCACGGACTACGGTTAAGCAGGTTAAGGAATCGACCAAAGATCATGGAATACTTGAGTCACGACGTTGATGCGAGAGAAGCGTTAGGCAACGAAGCCAAAATTACACAATTTCCGTGGCAAATGCACTCCACCGAAACCACTTTAATTTGATCCTTTCCTTGAGGCCATCATCCTCATCACGTCCACCTTCTGCATCCACTGCCATGATTAGGTATTCGAACAGAAACACTGGCAAAATGATCCTATCTTATGGTAAGGTAAATATTAAAACAATTAAAATACGCCAACCATCGTGGCTGGACCGTTATTTAGAAGTTTGCATTGCCAAAAAAAACGATTAGTAGGCCATCATTATTTTATTATAAAATTTATTTACACTTCCAGTTCCTTATCAACATACCACATTGAACCACCAATCACAAACTTGTAGAGGCTCGCTAAACAAAGTTCCATTTGGACACATCATCGGTACTCCAGTTTGTTCTCCATAACACACATAGAATATCTGAAAGTAGTATTAGATAAGAAATTAATTAAATAATTCATTTGCTTGTGTAACGAGAATTGTCGTTTGACAAAAATATTAATATTCAAATTTATATTAATAATTTAATCCCATACATTAAGTCAAGGCTAACAATTAATTTTCTAAGATCGTACGAGATATTGATTATATGATAAAATCACGATCGTCCAGGACTTGTAAATTGTTTGTAACAGGACGTCAACGTGCGACCTTTCCTAGTAATAGGTCTGGAAAAATATTTTTAAAAAGCACTGTAATTTTATAAAACGTAGCCAGACACGCCGAGCGCCGCAAGACTTGCTTTCGCGTCAGAAGCGCGACGGGCGTGACGGCTATAAGACATTTAACCTCACATTATATGTTCCTCCCTATTGTATCCCGAGTACGAAATTCTCCATGGACTTTTAAGTAAATTATTTGATAAATTCAAATGAGCTAAAAGTCTCAATGACTTTTATAGGGACTTCATGTGGATCTTTTAATTATAGGACGGCCTTCCGGAAGTACTTGGGACCTAGTCTATTCTCAGTAGATCACTTCTTCGATCAAGTGGGCCATTTCCTTTGAAGCGAGTACATCGAGCGAGACGTTAACTTGTTTCTTTGGATGGTGGTTATGCGCCATAACGTAAACGCGTTCTCGTTGCGAAAGGCTTCCTAAAGATTTTACGTTACGCTTTGAGAACTCAGTTGGCCATTATTTTTGTCAATGATACATCCAACTCTTTAAATACGCTCGTTATGTAACGCATCCAGTTGGCTATCTTTACTTATGGTTATTCGATAACGTGGATACCATAAGGAAGTCAGTGTCTGTAATCGTGAAATTGGGAATTTTTTTAGCATTATTTTTACCTGACATCTCGATGCTCTGTCGGCCAAGTAGATATGTGTACCAGGACTCACGGGACAAACAAATCTACTCGAAGGATAACGTAGATGGTGATGCGTGTATTGTTGATGAACAGGATAATCGCGTCCTGGAACTCCTGGAATCGATCCAATTTTTTTGCTGGATTCGCCTGTAAAAAAAAAGGAAAATTAGGTGTAACGTTTTTATAGACTGATCTTTGAGATTTTTTTTGTTAACAATTTTCTTAAGGAACGTAACGACTCCGTATAAGCGTGAAATATAGTTTTATGCAATTTCACAGAGAAAGTCCGGTATGCAATTTTTACATAGTTTCATCCATTTATGGATTCAATGCTAAAATAACTTTTACTCTTGGCAATTCTTCAAGACGGATACATATGGAATGTATTATGTAAAATTTTATGAAAATTCTTGAATGTTCGTACAATACACGTACCGTTCAGCTTGAAATGATTGGATTGTTGAGAAAAACGTCCTTTCAAATTGTATCCACTCTCTGCCGACGAGATCGAATCCTTTCTTTTTGATATTTCATTGGAATCCAAATTTTGCTGGTACTTCACACTTCCTCTTGACCTCCCAGTTCCGCCAGTGGTATTTAGCTTGATTCTAAGAGGTTCCAAGGAACTCAAATCCTCGTAATTGTACGAGTTATAATTCTCTTGTTTATCGTTACTCGACGTATAGTCGAGATTGGAGTTTGAAAAATTTTCAAAAATATTTTTGTTCCCACTCGAATTTATATTCACCCTGCTCGTCGGAATTGCGGTTGTCAGGTCGCAGATTTTTATACGACCGATCGTCGCGTTGTTCGGCAAGTCTGTCGTTGTCGTCGACGTGGCTTCGCGAAATTCCGGTTTGTCTATTTCAAAATCGTACTCGGGCGAATACGACTTGTACGGCGGTTGAAGAATTGGCGATGGCACGGCATATCTGCCGTTGCTTTTTATTCGCGATTTCAAACGCTGTTTACCACGTGGCGCTTCCGTCGCTGTTCTTTCGCTCGTCGACGACCGCACTTCCGGTGCCGTTGCAGGCGATGCGAATATCCGCGGTTTCTTCGATTGTTCGTTCTTTCGTGATCTTTTGCTGTTCAACACACGATCCGCGTCGCGCAGTGCCAACGCCAAAGCTTTTATTCGTTCCTCGTTTTTCGCCTGCGACGTGGACGTTCGATTCGGCCACATTCGCGACAACGACGGATCCCTGTAGCGACTGCTGGCTTTGGTGTTGGTGAACGTTGAAAATTCTGTCGTGATATTCTCGACTACGTTCTCCGTGTATAAAACATTTATGAATCCTAAAAACGCGAAAAAAAACATTTGGTAAATTTATGCGACGACAATCCCAATAATCAGAATATTCTTCACGACAAATGCATTGGTGTTAATCGCAGATACTATATCAAATTTTGGAGTAGGCTATACAAACATTTATTTTTGGAAATTATGCACTTCACGAAAAACTAAAATCACTAAAATCCCCAAGTGACTCTTTTTATTTTACACTGTTCGATTTATCGTCACTACTTTCCATTCTTTCAGCTGATCCCAATTTGTCCTTTGATCCTTACGTGGATGCTGGTCGCATCCGTACTTTCTTCACTTACCCAAAAACAGGATAGGCCCGATTACGCTCCGCATGGTGGCCCCCGCTTTGTCCCGATAGGACTAGTTTAACTTGCTGTTTCGCTTGTTCGGATTTAACTGAACCTTCCAGGACTTCACTTGGGTAGGTAACTTCTGATGAAGTATCCTCGGGAGGTAGTGGGGGCAGGTGGAGTGAAATAAATAGTAAAAGTGGAGGAGTAACAACAACCGTTCACTTTACGGTCAAATTAAACGGACGTTTGTTAAAATTAAGAAAATTTATTTTCAAGTCTATGAAAATAAGAAAAAAAAGTTACAAAGAAAAAAAATCAAAATTTTATATAAATTTACAATATTATCACATACGCGATAATTACCATGACTCTTGACCCTTTTTTCTTCATTGATCGGACTTTCGATCAATATTGACCTTATTCAGGAAGTTCAGTCGGAGCAACCATTTTTCAACGTGACCTCAACCACCACAGACTTCCGGTATTTTTATCTCGCGTAAAGCACGACCTTTTTTTACACATTACCCTTTTTGCCTTAAATTTCTTTAACAGTAAGGTCATACCTGACGATTACAAAGTTCATTTTTTTATGTTGCACGACCTTACCCCCTACATCCGACAGGACCTACCGTCTCACGGCGTATACACAGGTCGTAGATCACGAGTAACGATTTCCTTTCTCTGGAGAAATTTAACGAATCAGACAGCCATTGGTACTTTCGGTAGGAGCAGAAAAGAAATTTTACAAAATTTCTCACGTTCATTAATCTGCACGTATATACGTAACAACGTACATATACGAGAAACATAAAATTTGTCAAATTCATATTTGACGAATAAAAATTTTTTAATTTTTATCGTTCAAAAAAATTTATCAAAATATCCAGAAAATTCAATTTGCAAAGAAACATACGTATGACCAAGAAAATAGGTCTCTGTATTTTTAGTTTCCGATTGACTCGTGGGATTGATAAAGATTGCGAAATTTGTGGGAGAAATACTATACGCGAGTCATACGCACTCTTGATACACGAACCACCGTAAACACGCTTACTAAACCCGCAAGTTGCGAAAATAGGTCTCTGAGCACTAGTACCGACGATTACGAAATTAATATACCGCGAAAGTGGATCTTGTTTATAATATTAAAAAACATATATATGTTATTAACGAACAATGTCAATGTTCGTAGAGTAATCACGACCGAATGAACTATTGGTCGAATTGGATGGTTAAATAAAAGAAATAAATGGTGTAATTGGAAGAAATTTAAATTCTTCCATGCAAGACAAAGAAACGACCTCTGACTCGGCCTTGCAATAGCGGACGATCGTATCGTCCGATTTCATGTATCTAGATAGTTGGTTTCCCTTGAAAAGAAGATGCGCAACCCCGTCGTGTATGAAGAAACCTGTAGGTACAAAGCTGGTGTTACGTTCGTAATAGCATCCGGTAATTTTGCATGTGGCATTTAAATTGCCCAGTCTATTCAGCAGTCCATCAAAGTCTCTTTCGCGTGGTACAATCGTACTTTTCGTACGATTCGTTGTCCCGATATTTTCTAAATACGTCATTAGCCGGACAACAGGTGTTTTCGCTTGGCCAATCATTTCGGTTCTTCGGGGAATATCGTAAAGCGATGATAATTATTCACGATTTATTTTTCACCGTGGGTCAAGTTTTACATACAATCGAGTCATTTTCACTTGAATCAATTAATCGTGCATTTCGTAGCAGCATGCAATGTAGAAAAAAAATTCAATTATCGATATCGCTCATGTTATCCAATTATGAAAAATTGTACAAAAGAATTTGTATCATTGTATTTTGTATAATTTTTATTTTTGCTCATTAAGCCATATACACACTTTGTTTATGTTGGTTGTACAAAATATTTGTTTACGGGAATACAAGCGTGGGTAATTGAACGAAACAAGAATTAATAAAAAAAACCTTTTATTGTATATTACATTAATTGATCTTTCTTTTTATTGCATACAATTGCAGTAAACAAAATATATTTAATATTTTTAATAATACGTCAAATTTTTCTAAGTATTACGGCAATTAATTACGTAACCGAGCGTTCGTCCATACGTATCTCTAGTCTGACAATAACGTGCCTTAGTTTTGAGCAATAATCAATAATTATAAATAAACCGACCTTACTTGATTATAACGCGTCTACCGACAGTCATCGTTTAACCCCATGTTATATTGTAACGAAGTTAAACCATTCGGGTAGTAAGGCAAAAATCGATACTCATTCGTACATTGCGTAATCAGAATTACAATAGTGGTATAATTAAAAAAAATCATACAAAATCATACTTTTTTCTTTCAGACTCATCGATCATAATTTCTGTCAAACTTTGTCATGAGCGGTGCTGCCGTTCAATTTCCGCATTTCAACTTCCTTTTCACCTGCATCAGGCGTCCGATGCACCAACGGAATTTCAACGTCGCCCTTTTCGGTCCCAGCTGTTTGGGCCTTGTTCGTGGAAGCCTCTGCGAATTTCGGTGGGACTAATCTCTTGTCAACAATCTGCATCCAAATCATAGCCAGGACCAGCATCACACCAGTGATGCCAAAAGTATGGTAAGTCCCATATCTGGTATAAATAAGTCCCACGAAAACGGGACCCATCACCCTCGAAGCACATCCAGCACCTGTCATAAGACCCATCCATACGCCCTGTGGTCTGGGCCCAAGGACTTTACTAAATATTGTCTGTATCAATGTGACACCCAGTGGATAGCCGATGGTCGTAAATCCATAACCGATCATAAATTGCGTGACCGTCATCTGCGGTGTGTGTCGACACCATTCCTGAGTACTGGGACAACCAAGTATTTCTGTGCCGTTGCCATCAGTGGTCCAGTTTCCAAAAGCTGAAAAAAAAATTTTCTTTTATATTTTACAAAAATCACGATTCGTAAAATCATTTTTGGTTGAAAAATTATATTCGGTATTATCACAGCTTATAGATTTCACGAGTCTTATACATGATAACAAATTTGAAATGACCGGATACCAATTCAAGCATGACCCTAAAAATAAATATTTTGGTTTTTAAATTTTTTTTTCAATTTTCCCATACAAATAATTTTTTTAAAGAAGACCTAACGAAGGGTCCTTGGTAACAAGGGAAATAGTAGTCAGTCAGTCATCGTCTGTCGTTTGGCAAAGGAGGGTTAAGTCTAGACTTAGTGTGTGCGTGCAACGGAGAGGATTGGGACCGTTGATCCTGACCGGAGGAAGCTGCGAGCATTGGACCCGGATGGAGCTATCAGGGTGAGTACTTGTTCAATGGTATAGATATATAGATATGTATATATATACAACAGAGCCTTGCATTTTCTATCTCCATGATAAAAGAGCGAAGAGGGCGAGTGATGCGATGAGATTATATTTTCTCAAATGTACAAAGTACAGATATAGTATCTATACGTGTGTCCATTCGAAGATTAAAAATCCAGTAATAATTATCACGCTTGCTGTTTATCCTGATAGTAGCGTGATGAAGGTTTTATAAAGATACCGATTAGATAGTACGAACATGAGATATTACTAAAATCGACATTATACGTACGTCCCAATTCGGCGATGACAGGTGGGTCCGGACCCCATGGGATGCAGATGACACGGCCAATTATCATGAAGAAAAAGCCACCCCATAGCATTATTTTTCTTTCGGAAAATCTGTAATCGGTAATGATAAAATTTTCGTAAATTTTATAAGTTAGCATTAAACAAATTTTTTTTTATACAAAAAAGAAACGCGCTATCTTCCTTCAATTTATCGTTACGCAATCTTGATAATTATACTCGATACTCTTTCATTAATCTAATCGTCGAATCGTCTGTGTGTTACTGACTTTTTGCAAAGCGGACCGATCATTACGAATGTGATGCAAGCAACAATGGCACCGACGCTCATTAAAAGTCCCATGTAATACAGGGCTTCAGTTTTCGACCAAGCAAACTGATCCATGGTCAACGATGTACCCAGTCTGAAAAAAATGCAATTTTCGTGAATTGAGAAAATATTGCAAAAAATATCTTGTGCATAATTTTCAAAATTATTAGTCAATGATTTTTTTTTTAGTTTTAGTTATAGATTGACGGTCAGAGAGTAATTATTGATTAGCAATATATATATATATATATATATAACACGTTTTTTTATCATTACGAAATGCATCGACAGTCGATAAATGAACGAACGGAGAATTTCACTCACGTTTCAAGTAGCACAAAATTGAAGACTAGGACAAAAAAGGCACAAATTAATGTCCAGGATGCTAAATAATCAGGTTTCATGGATTTCCAAGTCTCCTCCTCTGTGACAGTAGGGAAATATACATCAATTATTGAAATCAATAATATTTTTTGGTCTAAAATATTAAAAAAAAAAAAAGAAAGTAATTTGAACATCAAAGACAATATTTGACTTAGTCTTACCCGTCGCTTTACCCTGATCGCGCATTGCCTCTCGTGCCGCTATCTTTCGCTCCTTAAAATTCCATGGTAGAAAAAGTACAAAATTGAACAATCCCATCACAACGTTTATCCAACCCGCCATGGTGTACATGTTAAACGGAAGTCCAAGAAGTTTGTAACCTTTGTCGCCCAATGGTGTAACAGCAGCCTGTAATCCTGGACCAACAACGAATCCTAATACCTGGATTCAAAACAATCACAAAAAGTTCACAATTAAATAAAAATTAAATGACCAAAAATTTTATCAAATTTTTTTTTGTATACCTGCGCAAGGGACACCATAGAGACGGCTTGTGTTCTTTCTGAAAGTCTTGTCGCCGCCGAAAGGTACGATCGGGCTACAGCGATATTAGCTGAAAATGGAAAATCAAAAAAATTATATCCATAGTCATTGTGCAGCATGGGGTCGTTGGGTATTATTTAATTATATAATGATTGATATTTGTATTAACCAGAACTGACTCCAACGAAAAATCTCGCAGTAATCATTACTGTCTTCCGGTCTCCCGGAATTATTTCTAATGTACTATAAGCTGCAGATGCCACTGTGAAAAGTGCAAGTGTTAGTAGAAGTGGCAGCCTGACTGATCCTCTTTTGTTTCCCCACCATCCGACCAGCGGCGAGAACAGCATTTGACCAAGTGGATTCGCGGCTACCACGTACCCCATAAATTCTTTTCCCGCCGTTGGATCGAGCTGAAGAAATTTGCGAAAAAACAAATTTTTATTCTATTTTCAAACTATTCAACGATTCAATGTACCTTGTCCAAGTATGGCCAGACACCAGTCAAAATTATACTGAATCCCAAAGACATGAGAAACATTGTGAAGTAAATTACGTATATGCTTCGCCATCTCGCTTGTCTCTCGACGTAACTTTCCAGATCGTCGTTGAGGAACGTTGGGCTTCTGAAAAATGACAGAAACCGTCACTCTTGACTCTAGACTTATTTTTTAATTATGTGTTGCGAGGTTCATTTTTTTCAAAATTCATATTTTTCATTTCATCTATTTCTAACAATCGCGAATTAAGTGTCAACAAAGTCACGTGTATCTTTATTATTTATAATCGTATTTATTAGGTCGCTAATCAAATTCAAATATGTAGGTTGAAATATGAAACTCGAGCAATTCCGAAGTGACGCATACCACGTGCTGACGCATAGGACATAACAATATATATATATATTAGAGGCCTATTTCGCGCGTGCTTTGCCGGCAGCTCATGAGCCAATACACTATTATTTCATATCTTTACATTTCTAAAGTTGTCGCAATCTGTGAAATAGACTGCACGTCGCGAACGTGCACGCCATGCGGCAAATTCAGACGCATCAGATGTCAACAGCGACGACCAATCAGCATCGTGATAAGCGTGACGGAATTTTTATGTGTTTTCGATATGGGATGAAATAACTTGGAGATAAGTCTTGCATTAACGAAAGAAAAATTTTTTATCGCGTAACAAAAATTTTTTCGTACATTTTACTTTCACTTGACTTATTGATCGGAAAATATTATTTGTGCTTATCACGCATTTACGTTTCGTTTCGATCTTACGAGGCGCGACTGTTAATTAACGGGGTCACTGATTACACTACGGTATTATTATGTACACGTACGGCACTGTATGATGGAAAAATTTATTTTTGAAAATTCCATCAGGATATTTTTTTAAGGATATATAAATAATACTTATACAATTTGTTAATATTTTTGACAATTTTTTTTTTTAATTTTCTTTACCTTTTCCGACGCATTTTTCTGTACCAGTCCATGACGCGACTGCCGGTCGAGTTCGTCGCTCTCCTTTGCAAGTGAACCCGATACTTTATCCCGGTAAAAGGACCAGGAGTTTCTGTGACTTCTGTGATAATCAGCGTTGGTGATATTGCATATCGATCACAACGCACAGACACAAGCAAACACACGTACAAAAACAATAATACAATATTTTCTTGTTCTCAATACATTTTGTCGAGGTGTTTTACGCGAGGTACAAAAAAAATTTGTTTACCATCAGAGTTTGTGAATCAAGAATTTTTGTTCTAATTATCACAATCTTTATTTTTATACAATTTTGTATTTTTTTTTTTCGTACCACTCACTTTTTTTTTCTTACATCACATTTTTCATCTTTTTACCTAATTTCTATCGTATCTTTATTTTCAATTTTTCAGTCCACTATTTAACTTTCTCTTCCAATGACTCCAGAACGAATTAACGTGCCGGATCACTCGAATTCTGTGTATACACTAACGAGACATTGAGTAGAATTTGTTATCAGTACAAGTTACCCTACTCCGAGTCTATCTGTGATGCCTTCGCATGGCGATTATGGTCATTTGTATTATTAGAAAAATCAATTGATGATTATTATAAATCTTTTTATTCTCATCGATATAGAATTCCAAAATTTTTTGTGGCTCTTACAAAATATTGTTTTTGTACTGTCCAGTACCAAATGGATACTGTTGTTGTCGTTAGTGCATATGTTGTTGTATCGCTTAATGAGCTGTTGCTCAGAATTAAAGCAGATTGATGATTTCTGAAAGGTTAGTACATTATATCATTATCTTGTGAATGCAAATGAGAGGAAGATAAATTCAAAGCGGAAAAAGCAGATTTACCAATGAAAAAAATTCTCAAGTTTGTAACGTGACGATAATTGCAGGCGAACAGTGGTCGACTGTATAATAAGTAATTCACATTGAAATTGAGGTCGCGTAGAAAAATGAGATTTCATGTTTGTAAATGAAATTTCATTATATTTTCATGAATTTAATTACTGTTCTATCACGGGTTAATGATGAAAATATAGTTATTAATTGTTTTGCTTGTTCATTGTATACGAGAAAAAATTTTGACTTAGAACTGGCACGAATATAAGATTTACATAATAATATTTTGTCTTGTGATAAGTCCTTGTTTGATAAGTGCGCTATGTCAATGATAACAGTAGACGTGATATACCGATGATGCACCCACTCCTAAATGATCCTGATAAAAATTGGTCGGCCTAAAGAGCCGCGCGTATAGAAATGTGTGGTATTTTAGTAAATATTTCAAAAAATCTCATTTATATAAAATTAATCGGATGCTTCAATTTCTGGACTACAGCCTTGGCTCGTACTATTAAACCGGAAGCGAATCATACTATAGCAAAATGCATTCGCATCGCAGATATATCTCGTACGTTGCACTTCGGTATCCACCAGTTTCGTTTGACTTTTGAGGCGCAAAAATTTGTAATTTTAAAAATTATTTCTGCCAATAAATCAAATGAATTATTTATTAAATGACGTTCAATGGCCTTTGATTCTACCCAAGATATAATATTTTCACAAATTTTCAGGATTATCAAAAAACTTTCACTGTTTTTCATTAATTCTTGAATCGCACTGTATAGTACATGACATACCATCGGTCCATACAAAACGCACTAAAGACTATCGTACGCTTGGTTAGAGCAAAGACCCAAGGCAATTCCCTTTCACGAGTAGCGCTATACTCGATTTGGTTAAGCGTTGATAATCTGTAGTAAAAAGCATCATTGACCGGTTCCGATTTCGATGAATTTAAGGCAAAGAAATTGTTTTAAATACAAAACAGCATAAATATATGAAATTAAATAGAAGCAATTACAGATAAACGTAACAGTGACTTACATTGATAATTTCATAAAAAAATTCTTAAGCAGTTTTCCACAAAGCCATTTTACCATATCGAAGATTTTATCATAGAAAACCGAAAGAAGGTTCGATGCGAAACATTGTGTTGGATATTGCGATTTCGGAGTTGCGAAAAAGTGACAGGTGTTAAAATCACGTTGGTTAATGTTTTGAAAGCGCAGCCAATCCTATGTATTTTTACATATGAGCAATAAGCTGTCTTGTCGCGAGAGCACACATGTTAGTTTTTTTTAAAATTTTTTTCACTGCACTTAAATACTTTATAATATACATATGTAGATATATGTATATACACACTGCACCGTATACACTATATTTTTTTAATTGAAATTGAGCTATCGCGCATGCATCCTTTTATTTCCTTTCTTCCTTTTCATTCGAAATCTTGCCGTATCAGGCGAATTATTGATAAATCGTAAACGGAAGTGACGTCAAATCGAAGCGACTGAACTCCCCAACGAAACTCTACGACTCATTAGACTTCACTGGACCTCGACGTTCTGAACACACGTGGTATCAGCTGTGCACCACCACCACTATTGCTGATGTGCCAAGTACAGTTGCGCTTAGGTCAGGAACGTATCTAGGTAGTTCGGTGCCCTGGGATTAAATTAAAAAATTGTTGTAAAGATTTAGATGCAAATATTAGACAATGAAAGAGCGAGGGGCTTTTTTAAAAGATAATTGTTATCTTATAGATAAATAATAATGCAGGAGTAATTTAAGACATTTTTTTCGTGAATTTCTTGCACTTGCAATATGCAGTATACACTTCAGTGTGAAAGTACGTAAAACTTAAATGCTTTTTTTTGTACGGCCTCTTTTTATCCAACTAAAGATTGGGCATAAACAATATTGTTTGTGTCGTGGAAATTTACAGGATGTTAACTAAAATCGGTTATCTTTTGTTAGTAATCTTTATTTTGTTTTTTAATATAATTATTGTTCAAATATGTCGTTAACGCGATAAGATCGTTCCACATCGATTATATTCATATTGTACGCAATTTATAATTTCAGATAATAAAGCTACTATAAGGCATCTTGCCTGACTTGTTTTAATATTTAAAAAAAAGCATATAAAAGCTGTAAAAAATATACAACATTGTTTAATGTATGTATAGCTAGTGATTGTTCTTATAAGATAGAAGTTTCTATGAGCAACAACAGTACGCGTCGAGTAAACAGAAAATAAAAATATTGTTGTTGTATTGCAAATATATTTTTTATCAGTTACAATGATGAGTCTCGACACTTCGTTTCACACCTTGCCAGGAACGCAGTCGAACGACTTGTAAGCACAGCAACTTGTACAAGAAATACATACACTGCGCATGCGCGTGAGAGAGCGGCTGCTGCTATTATTCTCCTTCAAGATTTGCACGTACGGATGTAAAGAGGTGACAAGACATGGTAAAACATGATGTATCACTTCGTATAAGACACACGACGATAACAACAACAGATTAATTGTTCTTGTACGCTCTTATGAATTTAAAAAATCCTTTGTTTGCTCGCGCCAACGAGGTAAACAAAGGAAGGCGCGCGTCGCAGTCACGTGGACGAGTCTTCGTACGGCATACGCGCGGTATACAATAAATACTCGTGGCTATAGTCCGTTAACGTTAACTTCCTACCAACGATACGCCTACATACAATCGCACGTACTACATATACGTAAGCGGCGCTTGGACTTTCTAACATCGTACATTGGGAACGCTTACTGCGTCTTACGGTGCATCGTGGAGATCGCTTCCCCCACCACCCATATCCTCCATGCACTACAGTGCCGTAGCACGATTTCATGGTGCCCCGCTCTAACCATATAACCTGTTCCCCGTAAACCGGTTTATTCACCTTTCTAGATTAGATACCACAAGGATTGTTAATCGTTCGGAATTTCACCAAAAAGTGGAGCAAGATATTTTGTACGATACAAAATATTTTTGTGATTTTAAAACTTCGATCGATGCACGATCAAATTATTATTGATTTTGGTATTGGTATCGTTTAGCATACTTGTGGTTTCGTGTTACATTTTTTGTTTTGAGTTTCATTGCATCAGATCTTGTTTGACCACAGTTCTTAATGATACAGGTAAATATTCCTTTTGGCGTCTACTGGTTAATTTCAATGTGTTTAGGCAGACGTAATCGAGGCCTTGCACTTCTTTTGTTATCTCGAATTTATTTTCTAAGGTATTAATAGATCTTGGCAGATCGTCATTGGACGTCGGCCATGATTATATTGAATTCCCGCGTAGAATTGTGACTTTGATATTGAACCTTAAAAATGTTTAGCATTGAAACGTTTTAGGGAGAAATTTACATTGAGGGAAAAATAAAGACTGAAATTCAATTTTTGAGGATCAGCATCCAACGTGAATGATCGTATAATTGCGTACGTGATTAATGATAAATTATGTATTTTCCTCATACTGATAATTTGTCTAACGATCGACCGTCAAAGTCCAGCTATTATTTCTATCAGTTAACAACGTGAGGTCAATGAACTCGTCTTCGTTTATACAATGATACAAAGCTTTGTATCAACGATTTATTGCACAATGTACAATTATTGTTATTGATTTGAACAATTGTTAATTTTTTGCAATTGCATACAAATTCATCATGTCGCACCTTTAATGTAAACGGTTTCGGCCTTGTTGACTATCGTCACGAAGAACAATGAAGATGACGTAATTTTTTTTTTAACAATTAAAATACAAAACCACGCTCGCATATGTTTATTGATATGGTTAACTATTCATTAACATGAATAATGACTTGGATGATTGCGACATCATTCAATGAAAATGATTCTAATCGATCTTAGGATGTGAGTCTGAATTTTATGAATAAATTAATTGATTCACTGTTCGTATAAACAAATATCTCATCGACACATAGTACGAATAACAATTACGATCCAGTTCTCATTGATTGATTGCACGATCCTGATTTCACGAAGATAAATGGAGAAAACTTGAGGCGCATCGACAAGCTTTCGGTTTATCATTGTTTTTGTTGTTGTTCAAACAACGGGACGAGAACTGCACAATTTTGTTTTATATATTCATATATGCTCTTGTTGTTTCGCGACAAGATCAGATTAACGTCACTAAGAGTTACAAAGAAATTCGCACTTTGACAATAATTAATGTTCGTTACGTTAGTAAACTTAATTCTAATTATCCCATTATATTATGCAGGATTTAACAATATATTTTACAAAATATACACTTTAAATGTGAGAATTTGTTCATCTTGGCACGGATTAATATTTTTGTTATAGCTTTTGTTTTTTTTTAACGTAACTATAATCTCGTCCTTACGAACGCCAGAATTACACTCTTTTATTACATAGTTATCAAAAATTCAACATTTGGAATTCTAAATAAACGTATTCTTTTTTTTTTTGGTAAATCGTTATTAGTTTCTTTTTTTTTGTTTTTTTTTTTGTGTACTACCTAAGTCTTCCTTCGATAGTACTAGCTAATGACTTCTTTCAGAGGAGTACTCTTTACGTGCTTGTTAGCTCCCTCTCGATTTTGCAAATCTTTCGTGAAGATAGTGATAACACCGCCTACGAGCATCACCACTACAAGTCCCACGTGGGTCCACAAGTCCCCGTAATCTTCCATTAGTCGACTAAATATTAACACAAATATCATTCCGTATATTTGATTAGTGATGTTTAAAATTGCAGTTGACATTCCTTCATTTATTGGATATGTAAATTCAGCGCAGACTTCGTAACCAACGGAGAAATATCCGGAAACGAAGAATCTAAAAAAAAATTATTTAGTAAAAAATGTGCAAAATAAATATTTTTTATTACAAAATTTGATCAATACCCAAAAACAATAGACGACACATAAACCATCCATTTGATTTCCAGCAGTAGAAAAATGGAGAACATGATAAGAAATGCTGTTGCGCCAAAATAAACAATCGTTATTGTCAGTCTGGAACAAAAAGCAGCACAAGCGTTACGAACGATTTGTCAATATCAACATTTTTTTCGAAAAAATAAAAGCTTACTTGAACTTCTTCGTTTTGTCCAAAATAACTCCAAAAATTATAGCACCGAACATCCCAGTTATAACGATAGCCAGTCCTATTTGCCCAGCTTCGGCTTCTCCGTTCTAAAGTAAAAATAAAAAAAAAATTGAAAACACGTGAAAATTCCTTATTTTCACGTTTTTCGAGTCGTAAAGTCTCCACGCAATGCATTAGACTTACAGCGAACAATTATTAAAAATAAAGACTATTTAATCAAGAATTGAGAATTGAATTGAACGGTCATTAAATCACAATCAATTGGTGATACATACAGGGTGTCATTATTAATAAAAAAAAATTATATCCCACTCGACGTACCTAATACGTAAATACAATTACCTTAAAGTGAATCAAGTACATCGGATTGAGAAGAGTGCTAACGGCATTGAGAATGCCAATTATTATTCCAAATGAATTGCAAAGTGCCAAATAGCTCCGATTGCACAAAAGATTTTTAATCGATTCGAAAAAGCTGTCCTTGCTCTCCTCCTTCCTCATCTTTTGAAGAGCCCGCGTTTCGCTAGGTGGCAAGGGGGGCTCTTCCATGAAAACTTGAAAAAAAAAGAATAATAAAACTTTTTTGTAATATTCAAAATTTAAAAAAATGAAAACTCACAAAAAAATATGGCGAATGTACAGATCGTCGAGAAAATAGCAACTCCACGAAAAAACCATGACATATCGTTACCGATGTCTACCAGATTCTCGTGATTTCTCACGAGCAACGGGGTCATTAAAAATGACAAAGATATTCCCAATTGACAGCCGAACAATCCCATTGACGTTGCCGTGGATACTTGCTTGGAATTGAACCAGTTGGCTGCGATACGGCCGGGAGCCGATAACACAGTGACCTGTTGAATTAAAATATATGAAATATAAATATTTCTTTATCATTATCAATTTACAGTAATCAACCCCCTGTTCTACATTGTAGTGTATTTAGAGTAAAGTTCAAAGGGGTTGAAAAATTCTTTTTTTTTTTTCCATTGATACTATCGCGACTTACCTGTGCTACGGCTACTATGCTTTGACCAAGTAGCACCAAGTAAAATCTGTCTGGTGCCACGGAGACTGCTTTCAGCCAGGAACCTATCGACGTGATGATCGATCCTCCCAGAATCATCCATTTCAATCCAACTCGGTCCATAAAATATATACAGGGAAAAACAACAGGTATGTAAGCCAGCATAAAAACAATGGACGTCCAGTCGACGGTAGTTGCCGAAACACCGTAGTATCTGAAAGGGAAAATAATTTTCAAAATTAATTAAATCTGTGCATAATATTACATCGTATATCGTTATATCGGTCGGACTATAATTAGTTAATAAAATTTTGAAATTTTTTTATCAACAAGAAAGACACGCTATGCACGTTGTCGTGCGAATGCAAATGACCTAGTATCACTGATAAGAGTTCACTCGTACATTGTTATGCCCTTTCGCCCCGAGAGACAATTATTGTATGATAAGTAATCATCAAGAAATGCAGTTGACACTATTTATCTTAATTAATTATTAATTTACGAAAGCCGCTTTACCATAGGAAACCAGTGATTCTGCTGCATACCTTAGGTATGCCTGTTGTATGGGTTAATATTTTAGTCGATATTGGGAAATTTTGAAAATTGTATAAATTTTCATTTTTCGTATCACGTACGTAATGGTACTTTTATATGTATAAAAAATGTATATGCGGTCATCGGTGATACTCGGTGCTAAAAATATAATTAATTTTCATAAATTATAAAAGGTTAATATCTCATCGTCCTTGGGATAATTTTGATTGTACAAAGCGAATCACGTGCGAATCAAAGGGCTGGGAACGTTTTGGCCCATGGAGTAATGACATTTTAAAATCAAGGCTATCAGGCAGTTTACGAAGTGTTACGTCATAACCGTTTATTTCCCGTATACTTATCGTCTACTTGTGCTTGAATAAATCGGTCGCTGATGTTTATTGTGATAAAAAAAAAGATGGGTAATAAATGCAGATATCCTATCAGATTTTCCACTTGTTTGTCCACTATTGCGCGTCCTCGATAATTGTTTATTTGGCACACGATAATTATGCGTAATCATTTTCACGATACTTTGAACAAAAAAAAAAGGAAATTTGATATCGACTGGTCGATTGATTTGAAATTTGAAATTTTCTTACATTTTTTCCCGCCTATTCTAATTACATGAAGAACCCAAGCGATTAGTCACCTGGATGATACTTTTATTATTATTCTTTTCAGTTTTTCAAATAGCGTCGGCGTGCAAAATATTCTCGATTATGATCACAAGTTTTTCGCAGAATTATTGCACAAACCCCGTGACGCTACTTGTCGCTGAGATCACTTGGAATTGTATAATAATGCGAATTATTCAAAAATGCAAATTTTTTCAGTTTAATGGAATTTCCATATTTTTGTATAATTTTAATATTAATTCATACTTGGATACTATGTTGCCAATAATGGAGTACTGAACCCAATGATTCATATTGGACGCAGCAAACAGGACGAAGATGAACAGCACCAACCATCTTCGACGATATTCGCGAATTTCGATATTCGCCAAATTCGTCTTTCCCCCATTTATTATTTTAACATTGTTACCATCGGTAAGCGGAACACTCGCGTCGAAAGTCATGGTGAATGATGGTAAATGACGATAAAAAAAATTGTATATCAAAGATAAAAAAAAATTATTTAATTAACACAATTCCCAATCGCACATTAAAAAAAAAATGAAAAATTAAATCAAAACAAAATTTTCAGATTTTCATAAAACCCAACTGCCGACCTAATCGCAAAATGATGAATTTTGCACAGAACCAGCTCTTTAAGTGTTTACGATTCTTCCGCTGCACCTGAAAATCTGTCAAGCGACTTATCGTTTTTACACGACTTTGTGACTTGACTTTCCTTTATTGACTTTACGCATTAACAACACTATAAAATCATTTAGTCGAAGTCGAAGTTTTACTGTTATAAATTTTGAGCTCGTTAATTTTTCAGTCTTCAACGTCAAGGCGGGTACGAGACGTATGCGTTGACGATTGAACGAGGAGATAAAATAAAAGTCTATTTCTTAATTCTGCGACAGCGCGTCAATCGGCGGCTAATAGTGTTTTCGGGAATTCGTCGAAATTTGAAAACTGTCATACGCGACAAAGCAAAGCCCATCATTGCTAAAGTTAATGTTATTTGAGAGTAAGTCGAAGATAAGGAGAGACGCACAGGAAACGAATGAACTGTTATAACGATTGATAAATTTATTATTTATTATCCCTGTCTCTATGCTCCTTTTAATTAATTAATTAATTAATTTAATCAACAACGATATCGCATCCTCGTGTCGCCATAGAACGTCGGACTTGTCGAAGTGAAGTAATAACGTTCGCTTAGTCGCCGGAGTCACTTTTTGATAAAGGATAAATAAATTTGAAAAAAATTTTTTTTCTTTTTTAATCACCACACACGAGACGAACTATTGAGCATTGACGATTTTCTACGTCAGCAGTTAAATAGCTTGTTGTCACAATAGCACGTTGTATTTAATAAATAATAATAATATTCAAGGTAAACACGTTTCTATCGGTGTGAACGGGGTTTTATGATTTTTATAAATTTTTAACGATCCACGTATTTGCTGTTTAATTTCAATCAGTTGGTTATTGCACTTTGCAAATTGCGAGGTTTTGTAATAAACTTTTTACAGTCATTTTTAATCCTTATTTTTAAAAACTGCCAATAAAATAACTTCCACTTATTAGTTATTGCACCGAGAGACAAAACGTGTTCGCCGATCGGCTTAGGACTCAAACAGTGTTTTACTCGTGCAGCAACCTTGTATATATATGGGACGCCATTGGACAACGACAGCGGCCGAACTAAAACACTGGGATGTCCAGTGGAGGAAAACCCGCTGGGCTGGTAGTCGACGAATAATAATAAAAGGAGTACGAGATGAAGAAGAAGAGGAGATGGAGGATGAGGAAATTACGAAGAGAGATTGAGGATATTTTATCCTTTTTTTTTTTGAACGTTTATTCGACGCGTGTGAATGAATTTTTGAAATTTTGTTACTACACGGCACTGAGTCTACACAAGCTTCTAGAATGTCGTGCGATCCGGACAGGTTTGGCCTGATCATTACGTTTTCATTAGGTTTTAAGAAATTTCAAGAGAGTGGAGGACTGCTGATTGTGTCGTGTTTCGCCTTAAGGATATATACAGTGTGTATGTATATATACATATATATTTACAAAAAAAAATATATCGATATAGTGAATCAAGAAAAGTTATCCTCTAATGGGAGAAAAAATTTATTTCTTAATGTTCTATCGATTCAAAAATAATTATCATTAATTTGAATGGTACTTCTAAGACTTTTTGTTTCGGTGAAATTTTATTTTAATTCAGCTGATAAGAATTTCCTAAAAATTTCTTTGAAGCCATTATGATCCCACAGGAATGTGGTTTAGAGCCAATGCGGTTTCTGTAACGTCCTCATTATTGCTTCATTACAACTAAATATAATTCTGCTCCTGTGGATGAGCTCGGATTCACTTTTTGACTCATCCTGTAAATTGCATCTTCAATCACATTTTCTTGAAAGAAATGAATCTCATGCTTTTTTTATCTGCATGCCAAAAAATTATGAGACAAAGTATAACTGAGCATGGGATTCAATGCTGTCGCTTCGGAATTTTCTTCCATTGACAATTTATTTGTCGTTATCAAAAATCAATAGACTCCGTAATACTTACCAGGAATTATTCTTTTTTTCAGGAAATTTTTATTTTTCATATACCCGTTCAGGATCTCGTAACGATTTTCTAGATCCCACAGGAATGCGATGCAATTCGAATGCGATTTTGTAAATCGTCCTTGTTCGTCCATCACAACATAATATGATTGCGCTTATCGCGATAAGCTAACATCCCCTTTTTTATTCTACGTATGTATACTCCTTATCACTCTTCCGCGATAAGTACAATTCTCATAATTTTAAATAGTGTTTGTATTACCTTGTCTTTATATCAAGCAAACACAACTCTAAGATAGGTCAATGAAAATGCCTAATGATCGCCGTCAAAATCGAAATCCAAGCGTGTGTGGGTAATATGAAAAATGTGAAGGGCAGTGAATAAAATTTTCATATCATTAAAAAAAGGTGGTAATTGCTCTTTGTTAATGGCGCAGTCAATAACCTTGGCCGGGAATTAACTTTCTAACGAACGTAGCGCGTAAATGCGTCGCCGCGTTGAATTTGCTACCGTCAATGAGCAGAGTCCTAATTAAACGTTAAACAGAACTAAGGTACATTGAGATACACCGTTGCACGGTTCAGTTGAGTCCTTTTCGTGCGATTGAATTGAAAATAGTTTTCGTCCTTTTCCTTGTCCTTGTTATTTTTCGTGATATCATCTTCTCTCTTTCTCCCTCCTGTTTTCGCTTTCCTTAATTCGACCTTAACGCGGAGAATCACGGATCAGTAAAGTTCTAAGAATCGAACGTACAATGTTTTTCCACCTTTCGAACGTTCGGTGCCTAATATTCGTCACGCATCGAAATTTCTCAGAACGTGGTAACTCGGGTGGTTTCCTGGGCCTGGTAGAGACGGAAGATCCAATAAAAAATAAGTGAGACAAGGAAGACGCGCTGTAAGGACAGCTTACGGATCAACAGTATAGACGCGAAGTTACTCGCTTTATTAGCATGCTTGAAAAATACTTTGTGTTAATTTCGTATTTATAAAAGATTATAGCCAATCGCGCAGATCGGGAGGATCGATGAAATATGATTCACGGACTTTTAATTTATGCTGAAACAGTTTGCGTGCGTTGATGCGGAACGCGCATGCGCGACAATTCGTAATTGCAGTACAGTCACGTACAGTGAAATAGTGAGGAATTGCTGACACTTTATGCAATTAGCAATTTATTGACGTTCCTTTACCTTTTTTTTCCTCATTTTCCAAGCACATGTTCCGGACGCTTCGAATTCGTAGGATGTTTTGTGACGCATGAATCTTGATTTGTGACGACGATACGAGGTTCTGCACGTGATTGTTCCTTGTGCACTTTTTATTTTGATTCGTCACAGAACATTGTTACGAATCATCGCTGATTCGTGTATCTTTGTTGTTTTTGTCAACTACCGTTCAAACCTGCAGTGTCCGAAGATCCACAGCAATGTGAATTACACGTTGATAATAGAAGAGTTCGTGACGACTCGAAATTGTTTTGGCAAAATTTTAGGCCAACTTCTCGCGCAACGGTTTTTAGTAATTTTTTAGGTTTCTTTCGACATAACCAAAATTGAATTAAGTCTGAAACGAATTTTTAAAAATCACTGTTGGATCGTACACAAATTTTAAATTCTAAAAAAAATTAATTATGACACCCGATCAATGAAAAATGTTTCGAAAACCTTTATTACACTATCTCGAATATATACGAGGATATCGAAATTTTCATCGCGACGAAGCATTGCGGTCGGAGCGACGTCGCCGTCGTGGTGACGGTACCAAGCGTGACATTTTCGAAGAGAAATCAGTGGCTAGTCAGGAAGAATATTTCCGAAAAGAGACGCAGAGACAGTTGCAGAAACTTCGAGAAGAAAGGGAACGTAAGGAAAAGGAAAAAGCTGCGGAAGAAAAAGCTAAGAAGGAAGACTCGACGAAATCAGATAGTACAAAGTGAATTTTTTTCATTGTAAATGATATCACGCCAACAGCCGTTTGTCAAACGTTCAAAGACTGAAGATGCATCTGAGTAAGCTTGAATTCCATATAACATTGTCCGTCTTACCGTGTTCAATCGATGCTTTAAAATTCGAAGTGAAACTGTCAATATATCAGTAGCTTGAAACGATAAATAATAACCTTACAACTTGTCCGTTACCGACCTGGCCTGTGGCGCCCTCTCTGCTGGCGGACAAACAATGAACTACGTCGGTACGCGCCGCAAGTTATCCTCGGTCGAGGGTTAAATTCATTCGATAAAATCGAAGAAAATGAAATCCCTCCCAAATAATACGTCTAAAAAAACTATGACAAGTACAGGAGTGTTGTGAATTCCTCTAACAAAAAGTATCAAAATGATATTGTTAATGCCAAGTACATGAGTCACTGTATATCTGCTTATTATATGATATAGCATTAGCCTAGTCAATTGTATTTTCAGAATTTCCTATAACGTCTTAAGGTACAAGAATTGACTCAGCTAAAATCTGTCCTGTACAGCAGGTAGCCTATACTTGGCACGAGACTCGACCGAGTCCTTTTGTCACGTCAGTATCAAGTCGTATACGTATCTACTGTAGGAGTGACAGTTGTACGTCATCGAGAGGAAAGTAAAACAAAGTTATACACAATAATTTGTTTTTATTATAAACTGCTTTTACACGTACAAAGTATCACTGCTTACGCCATAAAAATAATATGCGACATATGCATAATGCTGAAAGCTATATTATCAGTTACGAATAACAGCAAGGCCTTACTGCAGGCTGAGACATTTTTTTTTTCAGGAGGTTCTCGCTGCGGAAGCACTAAAGAATCAGTGAATCGATCGCGTCGGGACTGACTTTACAGATACTTGTAATTATCCCGGGTAGCTTTCCAGGCCTCCCATTTATCCCAAGTGTTTTCGACGGACACAAGGCCGGTTGCTTCGTCCTGAAATAAATTTGTGAATGACAAAAATATTATTTTGTTAGCACACTAGTCACGAACAACGGGTGTAACGTTGAGTTACCTTAAAAATTAAATTCGACTGTCCACCCCAGCTGCCGAACAAACGAAGAAGATCTTGATTTTTGCCATAGAGGCTGCTCGATGCCAAAACACCGTGAATTAGCTCTTCGAGTGCATTTGCAGTTTTCGCAGCAGAGCTAAGGACAACTCGTGGCGGTTCCAGTCCCAAGTTACATTGAAGCCAGTTTTCTGGCGTTGCTAAACCACTGTTCGGGCATATCAGCATGTAGTCCGAGCCGCTAGCGCTGCTTTCCGAATTTGTTCCGTGCACTTTTGAAAAACAGTATGACGATTATAGACTTTGGAAACCACGTGCTCGATTATGCTTTCTATTCGTCGTATACTAATTGTGCGACGTGAAGCAGCAACAATACGATATACTCACGTGACTGCAGGAGACTCGGAGCCGACAGGAAGGCCACGTCTCCGTTTCCAGTGGTCAAGCATCTGTTTCGAAAAAGTATTTAAAAAATACATTTACGGCTGATAAAAATAATTAAAGGCCTTGATTAAGTATAACAAATATTTCACCTACTTCAAAGCACCCAAGCCGCCCTTATATGCTTCGGCTTCGGTAGGCTTACATTTCGTCGCTTGTTTCACTCTGTCGTCATTGGACGCCATGTTACCAACGCACAGCTGACACAATTTCGAATCCTCGCGCGCACCAGGTGCGCAGGAGGCAGGGAAAAATTTGGAAATTTCCTCTTCGGATTTAATCAAATTATATTTTTTTAACGTGTACACCGGAGCTGACCAGCCGGCAAAGTCTCCCTTGTAACCGCTGTGACAGGAACGCTTTCCCCTTAAATCGGCTGAAAAGTTGAAAAATTGGTACTAATATCGAAAAAAATTTTTTTTACGAAAATTCAAATTTTTAACCAAAAAATAGTTCACTGTCGATCTCTAACGATCATTTTTAGACGTAGAAATAAGAAATACACACGTCGAGGCTTTTTACCTAAATTATTGATATTCGATCCTTTCTTGATAACGGCGATTGCAGCTCTTTCGCCAAATTCCGTTGTTCCGTTACCATAAGTTTCCGAAATTATAGGCTGTAAATTGTACTGTTGTATCGCTTCGATGACTGATCCTCCGTCAAGAACAACCAAATCGGCGCCATTGTCTCTCACAGCTGTCAGACAAGATGCTTCGTTTTGTTCGCGTAAGCATTCAACTCTGGGCCTTACGTCCCTACGTGAATAATAATTAAACATATTAATTATATTCATCAGTGTCGTCATAGGTTCTACTGACCGTAAAAATTATCCAAAAAATTGTAATACCTAGAAAATGCTGCTTTTGCAAGCGCCTGACATTTTTCAAAAGCAGCTTCGCTCCAAACGCACCAGCGTGCGTTTCTCTCGGGCGCACCTGAATTCCTCTCGATGACGTCCATGTACTTTGCATTCCTCAAATGTTCCTCCGGCGCCACTGGCGGCGCTGCCACCGCTATTGTTTTCTCGTTGAGCAACATCAGGTCCTTCCACCACTTGGCCTTTTCGGTTTCACCCAGTCTACCCAGTTCGGTCAATTCCTAAAAATTTAATTTCACCGTTTAATAAAATTCATGAGATTCAAACGTTAACTTTAGTCTCAAATTTTTTTCTAATTAATTACAAAATCGTCATACCTGTTGCATGACGTTAACATCGCGAACGTTCCCATTCGTCATGTATCCCTGCCAAGGTCGTGCAGCCCAGGTGCAAGGTTTGGTGGTAGCGTCAATCGGTACCTTACTTCCGTCAGGACAGAAGTACCGGAAGTCCGCAGGATTCTCATTAGAGGGTAGAGCAGGCGAGACCCCAACCGGAAGTCCGAAGAATCGCTTTACGTAAATAACTTTGGTCCAAGCCACGTCGCCCCCGTTATGCGCAAGACACCTCAGGGCACCTTCGTATCCGGAGTAAATGTCTGGATAGTCGCAGACTTCCGGTTTCTCGCAAAGGGCGCACATGTTGCTGTAAGTTTCCTCTGCGAAGGTAATCGAGCATATAAATGTGTCATTGGTCGTTCGATTCGTCATTTTTTGTAATGACGATCATCACGTACTCAGCCTTTGATGAATTAATGGGTCGGGCGACCAGGTACCGACGAGGCATCCTTTTTTGAAAAATGTGCTCAGAGCCCGCAGCTCGTTCTCGCGGGCTGAATATTCAGGGTTATTAATATTCTGCAGGACACCCATAGCCGTGAGTTTTGTTATTGGTATTTTGTATCCGACGTTCCTTCCCACTCCCGTGTGACAGGATTTTAATCCTTGAAGTCCTTGCACGTTACTGATGTTCAGGTCCTTGTGTATCACTGCGACTGCTTCGTAACGGTACGGGGCATCCGGCTCTTCCTTTGTTCTCACCTATTTTATTTTTATCGTATAAATTTGATTTTTTTCCAAAAAAATTTTATTTTTAATATTTATTATATATTAAAATTTATTTTTAAAAATATATTTTTAAAAATAATATAATTTATTTTTAAAAATTTATTTTTAAAAATATAAAAATTTTATTTTTAATATTTATTATATATGTATATTCGTTTACCTGTTCGATAACATTGTACCCAGCGTCTTTTGCTAATTGACTTTTGGCAGCTAGATACATGTCTTCGGGATCGACTGCCACCACATCGGCTTCTTTTTTACCGACTTTGTCTATACAGTCGTACCGATCGCGACCGGAAGTACAATACATTGGGATACCTTCGCGAGCCGATTCCTGCATCATGTCGACGCACTCCTGCCAATAAATTTCTGGTACGCACATGGTAACTGAAATTTGTATTGTTGATTTGTCAATCGGTTTTTGGAATTGATTTAAATCATTCGATAATTATTTGACATAATTAATTACAACGTAGTCGTGACCGGTAATTTGGAATGCAGAATGGTATATTGAGGAAATTGCAGTTGAAAAAAAATAATTATTCAAAAAAATAACGGATTGAAATTAATCGGTTTCTCGTGATTAATATTGTTTTTGTATGTGTTGTCTCGATACGAAGCAAAAGTCAGAATCGCAGTCTGGTTTGAAAATAATTTTTGTAATATCCATTTTTCATAATATTTTGGACACGTTCGCTCTCTTTACGTTTCTCTGCTTTCTTCGCCAATGAAGATCAACTAATTCTATTCTGTCGCACAACTGATTTCGTATATAGTTGTTTTTCGCTTTTTTTTGATATTGCATAAAAATTTGACTCAAAAGAAAAAAACCTTGTCTAGACGTCAATGAAATATCGAAACTTGAAATGTCAATTGCGATCATCATAATAATCATTGGTTTTTGTAAAACTTACACACAACAGTTTTGTTGGCTTGCACGTGGCCTAGGGCCAAAACAAACAACAGCAAAAACATTGAGCCGTACATGCTGCACTGAATTTCTAACGGTTGTACAAGAAATTTTTCACAGCTACCGGTGCTTTCTTTTGGGAGGTAACGACGACACACAAAAAATCAGCCTAAAACTGAACAATCAATAATTGCGACAACAATCGTAAACAACTGTACGTTCGAAAACAATATTTTTCAATGACAATCACAACCAGACCAGGACTGGTTAGGACTGCTGAGAAGTTTCTTAATGTTCCTTCTTATATAGATGCAAACTTTCCTCATTGGACGGGTGGGGCAAATCCCGTTCCGCAGCACAACTGTTATTGAGTTATCAAGTGCACTCTTTGTTAATCCCAATCAATTAATTTCTATTTTTATATAGTTCAAATCTGAGCCATGAACTTTCAACGTGACTTTTAGCCAAATTTATTTTTCATATCTCGTCAACTACACTGATTTTTTTTGTGAAAGTACATTGTTTGGAAGATACAATCATTTTTGTTGCATTATGTTAGCATACAACTTTTTGTAGAATACAACGAAGAACAAAATAATTTCTTGGTAGAGTTTTCGAATTGTCGACAATTAATGGCAAACAGAAATTTTTACTGCAAACGTAAAAATCGTATTCTTTGCTTGTAAATATTTTTCTTTGAAGCTTGTGTAATTGACTTGTTTAAATTTAGAATAGGTCGTCTCTATGTAACTTTCTTTTTCTCTTCGTTCTTGGCCCGTACTATTATTATTATACGAGATATTCCTATCGAAAAAGTTTCTATGGATTATAAATATATTATCAGACGTTATTCTTATGTTCAAGTATTATTTACATTTTTACATCAAATAAACGCAATAATTGAATTTCGTTTTCGAATCGTTTCGCAGTATTTCGTTTTGCTGCTGTTTACTTTCAAGGAGGCTTTAAGTGTAAGCGAGTTTCAAGTTCAATAGTCGCGTGTCCTCGATGGTTCACATGAGCGCACGTATGCACGTTTACTTACACTAAGGCGGGTTACACTTTGCCGTGTCAAATGCCAGTTGTGTCGCAGAAGGAAACCGGTAATTCCCCGAAGTCAGTTTCTGGTTAGTAACGCATTCGAAATAATTGATAGCGCCAAGTGGAAGCGATAAATAAAATAAAAATTGAACTCGTAAAATTTGTTCATCTTTTTTTTTTCTTACGCCATATTAAAAGTAATATGATAATTTTCTTTTTTTCGCGGCCAAATTAATGCGGTGCGATAAGGCAACTTTTAGATATGTAACGAGAAAAAAGTAATTCTGCAAACTTACTAGTTTCTCTAATCTCATATTTTTCCGCGAATTCTAATATCATATCAGTAATTAAATAAAAAACATAAATAATTTTTCAAAGTCACAACAAACAAACAATTATCGGTTCAGTGGTTAAGTCTTCGAAAACAAGTATTAGACTTTCCTTGGATTATCAGCAATTCTGCAATACACGATAGTTATGCTTAAGAGCATAAACGTATTTTCCGTTATTACAAGTAAAACATTAATTTATTTATTATCGTAAGTTTTGAATCTTAACGTAGGATAAGTTTTTAATTTCAATGATTCAAGTTGCGATTTCAACAAAATCAATTCCGCAAAATTATCATGAACATTTTTCAACAATCGTCCCTTTTTCATTATCGCATTAATCTTCTCGTTTGTCCATTTTTCACGTTTTTTGTAAATATCCTGACGGGCGAGCAATTCCATTTGAAAATGTTCGGATTTCGAATTTTCGATATTGTCAAGAATTTTTTTATTCCTCAATTCCCATTTTCGTATCTCTTTGACAATTTCGTCCAAACGTCTTTTCTCCTTGTCGAGTATTTTCTGGAACCGCTGAAAATACTCATAATATTACATATTCGTTATTACTCATCGATCCATATATTACTACATCAACAAGGCTCACTAACGAAATCGACAATAATAATAAATCACCTGTTTTGTTGATTTCATAATCGATTCGCAAGTCTCGACGTTCTTCACACCGTACGACGTATTTTCAACACGACTCGTCAGATATTTGCGTATGTTTTTAGTGATCTAGAAAAAAAAAGAAAGGAACAAGGTTGTTGACAAAAATTCATCTACAACATATAACTGCAACAAGAATATTTTTTAACTTGACTGTTCTCGAACAAGTCACGTGACCCCTACAGCGGTAACAAGACACGTAGCCATAATTCATCTTTATTCTCCTGACGAATTATCGCGGAAATGAACAATGACTGCCTACAGTCAGTACCAACAGTGCGTACACTGTACTCGCTATACGTACTGACATGGCAACACGAATATTCCAAGAAAGAAAATGTGGGACGTACTTCAAGGAACTTGTCCCGAGGTAAATTGGATTCTTAAAATAATCATACAAGCGAAACGTTGTGAACTTAACGTACTTCGTCGTCATTGACATTAAATTATCCTTGTAATTTGAATATTTTAATCTTATTGCACTTCTTTTTATTATCTTGTAGAGTCATTGAAAATATATTTTTTTTTTCATTGCACTTGCCAATAAAAATTCAACCTCGTCCAGGGGCCTCGTCATACATCACTTATAAAAATCGCGACAAGCTACTGTCGTTTTGCAGGAATTCTTTGCATTGTTTTTGTATGGATTAATTCGTATAGATTTTCGAGTCTGAAAATTATGTACCTTCACACTTTCCAGCACTTTCAACTCGTCCCTCAGGTCGTTAACTGTCATTCTCATACGATAGTGGCGCCATTCCTTGTACAGGATTGTTCTACGAAATTCCAAGCTTCTGTTCATGAAATTTAATTTTTCACGACCTGCCTCAAGTATTGCTTCGTTCACGTGTAGAAGTTCGACAGTTGGTACTAAGACTGTATTTTGAAAATCATTGGGACCACCCCGGAGTTGTACTTCGACTTGACCCGTTTTCAAGACCATTTGAACTTCTCTGTCCTCGAGAATTTCGGAACGATCGTTTTTCAATTTTTTAATAATATCTTTGACATTTGTTATTCTTGTTTGAATTAATTGGCAATGTTTTTGATACGAGGAAAATGTTTGTTCGGCTTCGGCAAGTTCAACGGTACAAGACTTGATCTGGAACAAAGAGAGCTTTGTTGTTTGTAGAACAACGATATACTTGGTAAACAATTGTTTTTCTACCTTCATTTCCATTTCAATTTTGATTCTTCGTAATTTGCACAACACGAACCAATGGCTGCTGTCAATTTGCGACGGCAGGTTGTTCGGCATGACGTCCAAGATTTCTAATCCTTTGAGAAAATCCAAACACTCTTTGGGTAAGATGTCGGATTTATCGCCGGTAACAACGCACTTTCCTACGTCGGTAAGATGGGTTATCGACGTACACGTTATCTGGCCTGCTCGCGGTCTTCTTCGATAATGTCTCAAAAGATGTTCCATCATTGGCTGCTTCAGGTCGTTGAATTCACCTCGAAATTTACCCTCTAGCAATTTCTCTCTCTTGCACAAATTTTCATAGCGATTTTTTACGTCGATCACGGCTTCCTCCAGGATTGACAATTTTTCTGATAAATCTTCCATCTCCTTCAGAAGGGGCCGAAGTTCCGTTGTTTTGACCCGCGAAATTTCACGAAGACAGCAAAGCAAAAGTAGGTGTCTATGAAATTTTTGAAGTATTCTTGAACTCTCCTGAAGCACCGCCGAACGTATTTTCATTGTTTCGATGAAGAATCCGTGTAAACTTTCGTCAAACTTTTTGACGTCATTTGCTAAGGAAGCTAAAACCAAAAGAAAGCCTAGATGATTATTCAGTGGATGAAGTCTCTAATATGATCTACCAGGAATTACTCATTTCGAACCCCATCACCTCCTACGTGCCACCATCAGCAAGGTGGAGCGTCCCTAAGGGGTGTCGAGGTCTAGGTTTCGTAAGTGGGGAAAAGCTGAATAAAGCTGGATAAAACCCCCACCCGACCAGATCATCAACCGCTGAAACTCACTATAGGTACCTTGAAAACTCTAAATCCCGTGATTTGCAGTCCT